TTTTTTTTTGTAAATAAAGATAATAGATGCAACAAAATAAAAGATCATTGTTTGTCAGTTGTTATTTTTCTTTTCGCTTTATATATAGATATTGTCTATGAAATAAAAATAAAAATAAAAATACAAATAAATGAAAGAAAGAAAGACAGAAAGAAAAGAAAAATAAATTACTTTAATGATGTTTTTATTTCTTTCATGAGATTGGAAATAAATAAATAAAAATTATTTAGTTTGATTTTTAATAAAAATCTCAAAATATACATACTATTGATTTAAATAAGAGAGCTATTGGTTGTTCAAGAATTGTTTCAGCATATAAAGATGCAGCTGAATTAATTTTTTCGATAACTAAATTAAAAACTTAAATATAAAAAAAACGATTTATTTAAATTCTTTTTCTAACCAGTTAATCGATAAGATTGACAAATTGTATTAATCATCAATAGAAAGTCTTGATTAGATGATGAAATACGAAGTTATGATTGGCATATCAATGTACCCGAACTCATCAAATCAGCAAATGCAATACTTCAAAAATATATATATATATTAAATAATTTACTAAAAAAATCTATTCTTACGAATCAATAGTCTTTCGTCGTAAATATTGTGAACAAGGCAAATTAAGTTTAAATTCAATTCTATCTGTTTCAATTATATTTGATTTCTAAATATGCCTATCAAAGATAATGATAAAAAATCTGTTTTTTTTTCTTTTTTTTTTCAACATACACTTATAGAATAAGTTAATGTTGCTTTTAATTTTTGAGAAAATGATATAGCATTTATTGAAAAATAAATATGAATATAATTTTGTGAATACGGAAAAAGACTTATAGATGGAAATGATATTAAATTTGTACTTGTTGTATTTAATAATTTCGAACTCATACTATCAATACAATGAATATTAATATGATCAATAATAAATGATGTTCGATTATTTAAAAGAAATGTTACATAAAGTTGAGCTATTGATGGATCTGGATTAATTGAATGTTCCTAGAAATAAATAATATATCAAACTTTATAACAAATTGAAATCGGACGAAACTATAGGATTATGCTAAAAACTTAATACAATAGACATCATTCAAGAAGGTAGCATAGATTTTCTCAAATCTCAATAGAATCTATCGAATGAGATAAGACTCATATCAAAAGTATTTTATCGCTTAGCGAAGTTCCCTCATCTATTGGTTAAACTAGAATAACTATTGAACTTACAATTGTCAGATTGAGCAACTAGTTTATAAGTATTTTGTTCTTTGTATTGTTGCTCAGATTAATTTGTTAGATGAATATCAT